TTCTATTTAATTCGCATATTGGACCCACTTTTTTCCCCCATTAAATATCTGTAAGTCAATCGGGTGTATCCCATTCTCAGTAGGTCAATTACCACATTACATTTTCTTTTAGGTAAGTAGCTTGACGACTATCTATGCTTCTTTTTATTTCCCTAAGTTTATTGTTTTCTTGGTTCCATATATTTCCTTATTCATAATTTATGTTTTTTTAAGTCTTCGCATTTGTAGTTTCTAACATCGCAGATTCATTATTTATAATAGCCTTTTTAGAACACTAGTCAGCAGTTTCATTGCCTTCTATCCCTACTGTAACGAAATTGTTGTAACAGTGAGAGGTCAAAGAGCTCAACATGTTTTTAATCTATAAACTATTTCATTTCTCTTAAAAACAAATCATAGATACGCCAAAATAAATTAGTATTATATTCAATTATGTCATTCATACAATATTTAATATGATATGAAAATCAAAAATGAATATCTAAACCTAGTTGCAAATAAACTAGCAAGTGCAAAGTTTTGCATTTTATGATACATTTTAATTTTGAATATTATTTTATTTTTTGTATTATTTTCTTTAAACGATAAATTTTTACTAAACAAAATTAGAATTACAAAGTTATGCTAAAAATATTTATCCTTAAGTAAACGATATAAACTTATTTCAAACAGCTTTTTAGTACCTAAAATTTTTAGTTGATTAAACAATTTAAAAATATAGTAACAATCTTGAAGTTTTTAATATTTTTAGAAATATTTTATTAAAGTTAACGGTAGATTTACATAATTATTTCAATATAACACTAATCAATTTCATAAAATAAATGCTACATAAAAAGAAAATCATGGAAATTATTTTGATATGTTAATCATTTTATTAATAAAGTTTTAAGAAAAGTACTTAAACACCTGAAAAAGTTGTGTAGTTTGAAAAATTATTTCAATTTAGAAAAATTTTCCTTTTTTTATCTAATATTTACACAACTATAAGTGAACTAGTATTTATAAATATACATATACATTTGAACTTTTGTAATATTTAATTTATATCGTTAAATTATATATTTGATTATAATATTACAATCAATTGGATACAAAATTTCATTAATAGTTATAGAAACTGTTTAAATATTAAATATTTAAATAGATGTTTAGATTTTTTAATGTTCAAACATTTGATTTTACTTATATATAACTTAACCAACTTAACTTTTTACTTAGAAATAAATTTATTACTAATAGGTATTTGATAATAAGATAAACGCAATAAAACCACTTCATATAATTGTATTGAGCTCAACGGTATCAATAATGATACTCCTTTGATGTTTATTGAATATTGTTGAGCTTTATTTTGTTTTGATAACATGTTATGCACTATGTTTTATGTTACACGTCTCCGATAAAAAGTTGGTACTAATTGAATGTCAATTATTTGTTGGATTCGCATGCCTTCTCCTTTATGTATAGCGTGAGTTGATGGAAAATCGAAGGAGAAAAAGCCATTCTGGAAACTATTACAAAATATATTATTGCTTAAGGGATCTACAAAAACAAAGGCGGTGCCACCCAGAACAGCCATGTCAGCCGGTCTGGGTTGTATGAACCAATAACATTGCAACACAGCGCACCCTATCCCGTTTCATTGGTGCCCACCAACTACCCTATCCCCGTCCTGAGATCCCTGTTTTCCAGTCAGCCGATCACTAGCCCATAATTTCGTTAGTCACTTCTAGTTTGGCATCGGATGACGCGCTCCTTCGTTAATCGGACACTTCGGTCATCCCAAACCAATTCAATTTAAATCATCATCTTTCAATTTTCGTATCTTGGAAATTTTTATTATTGTTATAAATTTTATTTTTTGTGTGTCCACAAGTTCAAATTAAAAAAAAATCCTTCGTGTTAATTGTGAAATGATTGCGAACAGCTTTGGCTCAAATATCTAACAAAAATAGAGACTTGGAACGATAACTATTTAAGAAACTACAAAAGTTTTAAGTTCATAGACCGAGAAAATTGCTGTGTATCATATCCTTAATAATTGCTAATCAAGCGTACAGTAACGGGCACCGCGATTGATCTGAAAGGTGTGGCGGGTGGTGATCCACACCACCCGCACAATATATTCCCCGCTCTGTTCTCCAGGCAGCTTAACTTCAATAACGGGTCACACCATCACGGTGGTAACTCGCACACGTCATCGGGTAAGTCCAAATAAAATATTTTTATTTGAAAATCATTATTTTTTTTTGTTTGTAAAAACAAAAATTAAATGATCATTGAACAATAATGTATTTTATAAATCATAGTAGGAAATTCTTTTGATTTACTTGACAACTTAAGCCTATAATCTCATCTGTAAAAGAACATATCTTAGTCATTTTGAGTTAATTTGAATTAGTAGTAAAATTAGATATCCAAATAGGTTTTAAAGTGTAGAATAGAGAAGAGATTCACTCCTCCACTACTATGGTTTTATGTCCATGGGACATTTAGACCAGGGAACCCCTACCTTAGTTAAGTCACTGATTAAAAGTGTAACTTAACTATGTTTCAATACTTGTTAAATAAATTTATTTTATAAAATAATTTTTATTTATGCAATACCAATAAAATATACATATTTGCTATTCAAAATATCCAAAAAAAAATGATCTTATACACAAGGAAAATTGTTCAAATATAATTATAATGTAAATATGATAATGGTTACAAAATCTTTCGCTTAATTGTAACATTCAGTTTTCTTCAAAGTAACTCCATAGTCTCTTTAAATTCCAAACTTAGTTTAACATGATTAAAGCCAATTAAAATATTTAATAAATCCTTAAAAACTCAAAGCCACAATTTAATAGAATGAGCAAAAATAAATTCAACCTATAATAGATATTGAAACAAGTGTAAATAGAAAATGAACCCGCACTACAAATAAATTCCTAACATATTCAGTTGTCTTTGATTAACTCAAAACTAATTCTAGTTGTTAATGTTATCTTTCTTTTCGCTAGTATAAATATCACTCGTTATGGATGAAATTAATTTTAATAAGACTTCATTATACAAAATAATGAATTTGTAAAACGTTGATTTAAACAAGTTAGTATTTCAATCTATAATTTATTCGAACAAATTACTTATCGCTTTTTGAAGCTAGCCAAAGTATTATAGCAAGCCATTAACAAAATAATATAAATAAAGAAAAATTAAGGTAAAATACTCACTTTTTACTTTATAAAACAATATATACATCGATTTATTGTCAAAATAATTTAAATTATTGCCTAAAAATTAATTTTACTATGTAAAGCAAATGCCCAACGAGTACGAAGGTTTACTTCTTTCTTTGGATTAAACATTCTTAAAGTTAAATATCTGGATTTACTGAAAAAATGACTCATGGCAGAGTACGTTACAATTAATAGCATAACAATAATAAAATAAATTTCAAAATTCATTAGCTAATAACACTAACGTATGCAAAGAGGATTGAGAAGTTTACAACTTAAAATACAAAATATTATATTTATATGTATACAGTTTTTATAAAAAATATACATATATTTATATAACCCTATTAATTTGAGTGTCATTTATTATACTTTGAACCTGACAAATAAAGAATTCAAAATATATAAATAATTAATATTAAAAAAAAAAAATGTATAAAATAGACTAAGCCGTTTTTTTTTATTTCGGAAGCTAATATTCGATATCTGAAGTTTAATGAAGTCATTGCATAATTAGGTGGTAAATCCAAACTATGTTTCGACTAAAAGAAATGTAAATTTTATTCTTATTTATAAAAAGCTTATTAAATTAAAGTTAAATTAGCATCCCCTAAGAGTAGACCTTGCAAGTATTTTTAATGTGTGTTCAATATACAGTTAAACAATATAAACAAATTTTACATAAAATAAATAAAATTCACAAACTCCTACAACCCCCTCTAAATTTGCACCTACTTTTCTTTAAACAGAGTATTTTGTACAATACAATTTGAAAAAATTTTAAAATAATTATCTAAAAGGATTTTGAACGTACTAAATTTATTTAATTGGGAAANATATAAATAAATTTTACATAAAATAAATAAAATTCACAAACTCCTACAACCCCCTCTAAATTTGCACCTACTTTTCTTTAAACGGAGTATTTTGTAACGTACTAAATTTATTTAATTGGGAAATTTATGAACAGTTATTTTTAGTTAATATAAAAAAATAGTTAAAAGATATAAAAATTTTAAGGACGATTTGAGTATTAAATATATATATTTTTTTCAATCTAGTTGTAAATTTACGCTACACAATGAATTATCAAATCATATGAAAATACGGGTTAGTTTTGGTATTTAGTTAATATTTGATAGATTTTATTTATTAATTAGTATTTTTGGCAGGGACATAATTAAAAGGGCATAAAATCGATAGATACCCAGAACATAAATAAATATATGGTGAAGGTATAAATTTTATTTTATTTTAAAAGGAATATTGAAAGATGTACTAATTGCATCTCTAGATCAAAATTATCACAATTAACAAAAAAATTATTTTGTTCAAGAAAAGTAAAAAGAATTTACTAATTATCTTTGTCGGATTTTTTGTAATATAAAAATACTTTTGAGTTGTGACAGTTTTGATCTAGGGTTGCTTAGAGCTCCCATACCCCTAGAACAAATTTATAAATTCAACAATGGTGTTGTATTTCATCAAATTTTGTTTTAAATTAAAAATAAATTTATAATAATATTATAAATAAATATATAATTATTTATTCATAATTTATTATAAATCATTACTAATGATAACTAAAAATTTAACGTTATATTACTGATAATAATTTTTAACAAACAAAATTTATTATATTTGTTTTTAAAATCTTTCGTCAGTTAAAATTCAATTCAATTATAATTTGTGTAATTTATGATTTTGTAAAAAATTAGACCAAAAAACACTTGAATTTTCATGAAGATGTGTATCTTTTTAGGTAAGCTCATGATGGATGACTTACGACCTGGGTTGGGTGGCATTCTAGGTCTTATGGATCATGACCACCATCACCACCACTTACACCATCATCATCCAAGTTCGGTCCATGGAGATAAGCAACGTTTATCGAAGGGAGCCAATGACTCATCAAATGATTTAAGCTCGTTGTACGGTTTACCGGTAAACACCACTGGTGATTCTTCTCATCATAATACGCCTTCGCCAGGACGAGGATCTCTAGCCGAGCAATCTTGTACGTGCTAAAAATAAAATAAAATATAATTTTAATAGCTTATTAATATAATTATCAAAAAATAAATAAATTATATTAATTTGTGAATCCATAATTTACAACAAAATTTTTGAAGCAATCGCATTGACAATTCTTTTGAGTTTAATATATTTATAGTAAAAATATATTAATAATAAGATATGAGTATTTGGTTTTCTTCTCCAATTGTGTTACAGTATATTAATATAGTATTTGTCAACCGAGAAGTCATGACACCTTGAGGGGTCCAGAACTAATTATTAAGGGTCAACAAGATATGATATATTTACGATAACGCCAATGGCAGGGGTTGCTAAAAAATTTTAAATCGAATTAGACAGTAATAAGGTTGAGAAAAACTGTTCAACATACTATTAGTTCAAAAATTATTTAATTAAATTTTACATTATTACCAATTAATTTTATGCTTTTGTTTCAATTTTTAGAGAAAAACTTTTTACAAATTAGATTTCTTAATTCATAGCTAAATTAATCTAATTCTTATAAATTCGACTTTAAGTTTAATAATATATAATTTTTTTCATTTGCATTTTAACTAATATTTATTTAATCATTTATAAACAAAGTAAATATAATCTTTTTTTTGTAATTGGAGTGATTGTGCTTATGTTTGTCATTATCATATATTAGTTTCAATCCATAGAATAAACTTTTAAAACTAACAATTAAGATCCAAAAGTAAATGCTTATGTCAATAATAAGATTAAATGTTTAACAAAAAACAATTTTTTTAATAAATAGCTTCAGAAGGAGCTTTTAAAAAATTAAAAACTGAGCCACTTACTTCAGTAGGAAGTATTAGTGCTAGTCATCCTGGGCACACACCAACTACTGCGACGTGTCCAACTCCTGCAAGACGGAGACATCGTACTACTTTTACTCAGGTATGCGTAAATAATATACTTAAATAAAAAACAAGGTAACATAGAAAAAAAATTTCAGCAAATTTAGATCCTGAACAATACAAGAGACATTTTTTCAATTAGACCATCTGAAAATTTTACTTGATTTTCTAACTTTCAAATCAATTAAATAATTAATAAAATAATTTAACGGATTAAATTTGTTTAAGTAAACAATATAAATGAATAGGATTTAAAAAATTAATTTTATTTTGTATGATTACACAGGAACAACTCGCTGAGCTGGAAGCTGCTTTTGCAAAATCCCATTACCCAGATATTTATTGTAGAGAGGAATTGGCTAGAAGCACAAAGCTTAATGAAGCTAGAATACAAGTATGATCATCAAATTATTATATATGAATACATTTTAAGTACCTATAATATAATTTCTATTATCGTAATTGGAAATTATTTCATAATAAACTCTATTTTTCGGGAAATTTCAAAAATAATTATAATTTATAGTACCTATTTAATATTGTTCAACTTAAAATTAATTATGACTAATTTGATCTTCTCCGATCGCGCGTTTCGATTTTAAGTTATAGTAATAGTTTTTTCTGTTGTTTTACCAGTAATTCAAATAATAGTGCCCTTTAATACTAGTTGTAAGAAAATTCTCTTAGTCGGGTTTTCACGGTTCTTTGTATAGAGGAAAGAACAAAGCACAGTTATTCTTTCTAAGTTGAATGCATCAAGAGGGTTGGCTGGTGAGTCATCTAGACCGCCCTCGTTCATTGTGCATAGAATCATCACACACAAGGACTGCTATAATTTAATTTATTGCCCAAAATGTATTTCCATGTACATAAAGGGATAGTTTCTCCCTGTAGAGTTTTAAAAGGCTATACATACTCTCGAATATTTTATACGTATATCAAACATAGTGATAAAATGAGTTTGTAATGATTTGAAAAGGGGAAACTGTTTTAACATTGGACAATGACGATGAATTTTAGGTATGGTTTCAAAACCGAAGGGCTAAGTACAGAAAACAAGAAAAGCAACTGCAAAAGGCTTTGGCTCCGCCCTCAATGCTTCCGGGATGTAACGGGGCCGCCATGATGAGAAACATCTATCCTACCGCCTCTAGAACATACCAAACTTATCCGCATCCCAACAGCATGAATAGATACCACCCTCAGGTAACGACAATAGTATTTTGTTTCGTTGTTTTAAAAAGTATAAATATATTACGAAACGCGGTAAACATAATACTCTCAATTATTTTGCGAGTATGTAAACTTTTTTTATCAAAAAAATATTTCGTTCATGTCGTCCTAATGATATTTAATACCACTGATACTATAACTTGTAAATAAGATTATACCCATAGTGGAATTATTGATTTCTTATTATGTAAAACTTGAATATGATTACTCATATATCACTTGAAAAAAATTGTATGAAATATATATGGGCGAAATTTTTGTTGAAATATATATTTTATATTTATAATAAAAAGCTTATATTTTTTAGTAAAAAAATTTGTAGTTATAACAATATTAATGAAAAAGTTATTTTAGTCAATAAGAAACCTATTTTTAGGAAAATGTAAAATTTTAAAAATTAATACTTTTGATTATGAATATTTTTATTCTTTTAAATAAAAAACGAATTATTTTAAATACATTTTTTTTTCTGGTCGAAATTTTATTTTTTATTTATTTAAAGTGAAATTTATTGTTTAATAATATTTCAAACACGAATGTAATTATATTGTAGAACAAAATTAATAAATTTATCAGTAAATAAGTTACTTAATTACATCATAGAAGAAAATTTTAAATATATGTTAAGGATTTATTGATAAACTAACCTACATTTTATTTACAGTATTCTTTTGAATTATTATCATTTGATAATATTTGAATACTTTACTAATTAAAAGTTATTTTTAATTGCAGTTAAAAATATGCATATTATGATACACAGATTACTATATTATATTACACAATAAACAAGAAAACTATTTATTTAAACTTAATAATAATAAATACTTTTTTGTTTATTTAATTTTAGTAAAACATTATTTATGTAAAAAAATGTTATCCCTTTAATTATAAAAGGTTATGAAACTAAATAAATAAAAATTACTGAAAATTAATTTTATTTTTAGATGTCGTCTAGTTCTTACATGTCATCTGCTGTAATGAATCAGCCGTTTACAGTTACTAGCCATCATACTAATCATGGTGCATCTTCTAGTCAATCTTCATTAACCACATCATCAGGTAATTAATACATACCAATACGTTATCAAGTATAGGTTATGTTGATAGTATGTTAAATTATACTAATTCACCTTAGACGTCACTGCATAGATACAACCAAGGCCATCCCAATTTAAAGCGTGAGGAATGGCACATTCCCCTTGTCAATATTTTGCTATTTTAACCGCTAATGTTCAATGTATAAGGTGCTTCAAAAAAATATTTAATAGATCACATAATTAAAAAATAATTATTTAATCAGTAATGTAATATTTTCATCCTTTCCCATATTTTTTACTTCGACCCGACTCTGGGTACAATATATTCTACTTACATATAATACAATAACATCATTTAATTATTTTAAAAGTGGCAAACGTATTTTTTAAAAATAACATAAAAATTTTAACTTACTACGCTTGTGATTTCAATATTACTATGAACAATTTTATATATACAGAGTAATCCAAATTTAATAAGACGCTAATATTCTCAGAAACTTCTGAGAATTTAAAATTTTAATATTGAGAAAATATATTATGTTCGAAAACTATATTAATAAATAGTTAAATAATTTTTTTCCATTCCTACAGGAATAAAAAATCCTTAACTATAATTTTCTTTAAACAAGAATTCCTATTTTTAACATGATGAATATGATAAGAAAAATAATTCTGTTCTCATATTTTTTTTTATCTATAATAAATAGTAATAATAATAATAATTTTAATATGTTCATTTTGCAACTTTACAATTTGTTAAAAATGGACATTCATAATACAAAATATTTAACTTTTTACTGGTACATCGTAAAACGTGGTAACATCGTTCGTTATCTATTTGTATATTGCCAGATGTATATTCGAATAGTATATGATAGTGCAAAAAATACTAATTCTAATATAATTCTATAAACACATATGATTAATTTTATTTCTCATAAAATTGATTTCTGTGAACATCTAATGAAATGAACAGCACGTAGTTTTCGAGGAGGCAAATTCACACTCAGATCCTTCACAAATGTCGTCACTGGTACAATATGTTATCTTATGTTATAATTCTACACATTTAATCAACAGCGAATTTAATATTTTAGTACCATAGGCTAAATGAGGCCATTGACTTTAGACCCATTTGGAGGTTAAGAATCGTAAATTTTGTTCAGCTCCTCAAAAACGACGAGTTGCATGTAAATTTATGTAGAAATATTTGTAATTTGTTTAAAAACAACACTACATAATAATCAAAAAAGTTTTACTTTTTAAAATTGGAATTATTTATTTCAGAACGTTGCTCATTTTTATAGAAATTTTATGTGTCACTCAAATGTTCCACGATTTTAAACTGAAATAAACTTATAAAATGTCCTTATTTTAGGTATGATGCCTGAAGAAGAATGGTACAATAAGAGTTTGTCAGCTTTACGAATGAACTCAAGCCACCACGCTAATCTAACTACACCAATGTTGCAATATCAGACATAGTTGTTGTGACTGTGATAATTATTTTTACTTTATCATAATGATTACTGAATAATTTATATTGTATCACGGGTTATACATACTATACTTAAAAAAAATCCTATTTCATGTTTTTATCGTGTACTATTTATAACAATTTTTATAATATTACCCGTTTTGTCAATCCACGCATAGGTAAACTTTGTAGTATGGTTGTACCCGATAATGTTTTAAGTTGCCTTATTGTCGAAAATATTGTATGATACGTTTTGTTTTCTGATTTGATTCATTTATTTATTTATTTGTTTGTTTGAACTTTTCAATGTCTAAAAAAATATTTGTACACTTCCTTCAATTTTTTCGATTCATTATATTGCTAAACTTGTATTTAGAAAGTAAATTTTAAAGAAAATTTGTAAATATAAAAACTTTTACTAAAATGTATAAATTTTATATTATGAATTAAAATTTATAAAACTCGCAAGACTTCATTTAAAAGGTTAATAAAGTTGACGTATCGCGAGTTTTGAGATAAGTTTAGAAACATTAATAATTAATTCGAGATCTACTTAATTTCAAAAAATGTAATGATTTCAATCAGAGTCTTTAAAAATACTTTAAGAGTAAAAATTCGAAACTAATTCTATTAAAAATAAGGAGTTATAGATATTCAATTTTATAGACATGAAGACTCGGTCATGACCAAAAATATTACAATTGCTGTGCCAAGAATTTATGAGAAAATATTATTAATTTCATATTTCTACTTACGTCTACATTCGAACCGTAGAAAAGGTGTGAGAGTGAAAATAAGTACTAGGAATTTATGAGATATTATTTCCTGCAAACATTAATTGGCGTCTTATGTTGATAGTGTCTATCCGTCACTGATTTTTAAATATCAGTTGCTACTATGTTACTATTTAATTGTTTTCCGCTAAGAATTATATCGCTAATCGCTATTAGGCTTAGATTATTATTAGGTTGTTTACCATGTTGCTTTAATTTTCAAATGAAATACGTTAATTTACATTATTCTAGTGACAATAGTGATTTGAAGAAGTCGCTATTGTCGGTACTCGAATGACTACAAAATTTATGTTAAGATAGACTTGTTCAACTTTAGTAGCAGGCAGCAATATGTTATGTGTTATGGCGTATAATAAAACAAAATATGTGATTATTACTTGTATAAAATATTAAATGTTTCATATACTGTTTTAACCGTTTTGTTAAAAAATTGTATAAGATAATTTCTTGTGTTAAAATTTAAATGCTATTACAAGTATGCAAAAAAAAAATTTTTTTAACGTTTTGTTCATACAAACCACATTTAAAAAATTTAGTTTCAAAAGTTTCAAAGAACCCTTGTTTTTTCAGTTTATTTTTTGATTGGTTTAATCTTTCAAATGACTCTTTTGTGGTATTAAAATAATAACAGACAAGACCAGGAAATTCCATATTTCTAAAACTAGTAGTAATTATTGGTGTTTTTGTTTAAAACTATTTTCAAAAAAGAATTTAATGAAGTCAAACAGTGTTATATACAGGGGAAAGCTACAAGTACTAAGACCCCATTGGTTGCACCAACCCAACATTTTTGATAAAAAATGTAATTGGGTACACCAATTAAGTCAAATGTAATAAAGTACATAATGAATTCGATGAATTTGACGATTCAAAATTCAATTCGTTTTGTAATTATAAAAAAGCCTTATAAATATTTTAAAATATTATTATAATTATTTATTTATTTTAAAAAAAATTGATTTTAGTGAACAATATATTCATAATAAATAATTAAATAGTAATTAAAATAGTTTTAGATGTATAACTAAATTAAACCGCAGTAAGTGAACGGATAGGTGACCATACGTCCGGTTCTACAATGGCGAAAAAAAAAGCGTTATGTTCCCAGTACAGAAGGCAACGGGAAACCAAAGCACTTAAATCTCCCCAGGGTATACCAATCTAATTGGTATTAATGAACCTAATGGTTGAAAAAAGAAAACTAAGTTATTAGATTAATGACAAAGTTAATATTTAAAAAAATCTCAAAATTTTAATATAATAAATAAACTCACTGACTATTAAAAAATTCAAAATAACTGAAATTTTTATATGAAAATAATATTTCTTCAGTTTTGATATAAATTTATAAATATGAGACCATATAATTTTAGTATTTAAAATGGATATAATTAATTTAATTTCATTATCACAATTATACAACAGCAATTTTGAATGTGTTACAAGTAAAATAATACAAGTTCAACTTGTTTAAGTCTTGACAGGTTATTATAATCATTACATATTTTTTTAAATCACAGTAGCTATATTTTAAGTAAAAAAATAGTTATCTTAAAAAAAATTAAACATGATCATGCATGATTAGTCAAATAAAATAAAATAATTTATAAAAATTACAAAAAATTTGTTTTAACTTTAATAAATAACTTTTCTCTCGAAAACAACTTAATTCCTAACTGTAATTTGTCTAACTCTTGTTCTAATCGCCTACGTTTTTCTTTTATTTTGAATGAATCTGAACTAAGTGGTAACATATTTAACTCCATAATTAATCGATTATAATCTAAAGAATAAAATATTTATTTTAAACAAATTTATTTATTTAGTCATTAATGTCATAAACAAAAAAATAATATACTTTTTTGTAAATCAGCCAAGTGTTCCAAACGTTCAGTTTTAGGTAGTAGCATATGACCAGGGGGACAATTTGGATCATCCAAACCCAACTTATGTCTGATATCTTTTTTTTTTTGTTCTTCCCTATCATTTTTTTCTTTTAAAGCTTTCCTTTGCTTAAGATATCTGTTAAAATAAAAAATAAATATTTAGTATAGTATTCTATTTATGATTAAAATACACTATGAAACGTTATGCTAATGTTAACTTAGTTGCTACAAAATGAACATTTTTATAAACTCTTCAAAGAAACTTATACATATTTTTTAAAATAATATTTTTAAAATTGACTAAAAAACTAGTATAGGTATAAAATATATATATACATATAAGATAGGATATTATCCTATACCTGTATTGAGAGGTATAGATATACATTATTTATGTAGAGGACATGTGATTTCATCAAACACCCCGCAACATTTTTATTTGTTTACCAATTGGGATTTTGGAAACAGATAGAGGGTAAACATCTAAAACACTTCTTTATTCACCCTACACACTAAGAAGGCTATGTATTAATTAAGGGAGCAGTTTGTACACATAAACTTCCAATTCATTTTTTAAATGTTATTTGTTTATATCAAAAAAACATTGTAATAGGAAAATATAAACCTCCAACCTCTCCTTACCTAGTCTAAATACATAGTAGTTTTAATTTATATATCAAAATTCCAGCCAAAATCATAAAATCCACTGTTTTTTCAGAATTTTGGCAAACATAGAGTATAAAAAAAACTTATATAGATCAGGGTAACAGCTAGAAGTTATTGTAAAATACTATATAAAAATTTAGGTCATATTTGTAATCTACTACTAAGCTATGCATAATTACGGTTGATACGGTTCGCAGTTATTAAGTATAAAAATTTATAAATTTTTTACTTGGGTATTTTTCCAATTTGATGAAGTCCAATATTTTCTTGACCACATTTATGTTGAATTGGTTCTTGTTTACTTTTAATAACTTTACTTTGTTGTTTCGTTATCAAGTTTTTAATAGAAGCAGCATCATTTAAAATTTCTTCATTTTCTATAACTTCTGTTTGAATAGCAATTGTATTTACAAGTTTATTCTTAGCTAATTTCAAATAACTATTGCGGTTAACACTTGGATACCTAACGGTACCATCCTTCAAGACCAACTCTTCACTAAATGGAAAAACAGTTTGTACAGCTTCCAAAAAAAAAAAAAAAAAAAAATAATAATAATAATATTATAAGATTAAAGATATAATTATTATTATTTATACTGAATACATCATTTTTGTTATAATATCAGTCAAAATATATGTATATTTTGTTAATTAAGCAAGAAATATTAATAAAATTTCTATGCTGACTATGAATCTAATGTAAAATAAAAATTATCAATTTTCTACTGATATTTTACAAAAGTTTCCATTGAGAATACATTTTTAAATAGATCATTTTAGAACGTAATAAAACTTAAAAAGATTATTCAAACTATTGATAAAAAAAAATCTTAACAGATGTCTGCCAATTATCAGTAAAACATAACACACTAAACATTTGCAAAGAATCTATATAAAATAATTTTCATAGTGTATCCCCCCTTTCCACATATTTATAATATTATTAAGTTTAATTGTATAGTGAAATTTATGATAATATGGTGACGTATTTTACTGATTTTATAAATAAATATACAAGGTTTTTTATATATTGTTAATCATTAAATTATTTCTAAAATAATAATTTTGGTAGTCAAAAATAAGCCACAGAAAAAAAAATGTGCGAAAATTTTGTTGCAAAAAAAAAGTACAGAAATAAAATTTATAATATAAAAAACCACAAATTTAACATAGAATTAGAACTAAGTTATATTAAAAATGTTCAAAGATGTCTAAAATGAGGTCCATAAATTATGCATTGACTTAAAAAACGTTATTAATAATGTTAAAATTAATAATTATGCTGTGTATATACTCATATTTATTTTTAATTGTTTAATTAAGCTAGCATAACTTGGTTTTTGGATTAACACCTTTATTGTAAATAAAATAAATAAGATTTAGTAAATTTATTAGAAACAATTCGTATTAGATAATTTACTATTATTTTAATTGTGTTTATAATAACTATTAACTAAATTATAACATTATATAAGAAGTGTTGAATTTTGTATAAAAACTATTATTATTTTTATTGAAAACATATAAAAGTTTTAAATGATAAATTAATAATAATTATACTATTTTTAACTTTTATCATTTCACCTTGCTATTAATTTATCCATTTTAGGTTCAATGCGAAACTTGGACAGTATTGGTTTTACCATAATATGTTATTTTTATTATAACCTTTCTTTTTTATCGTTTATTTGTAAAAAAAATTTGTTGATCTCTACCACTTAAGTTATAAAAAACCCAGCACAGTGAGAACATGGCACAATTGGGTCAAGTATAAAGATAGAAAAATATAAAGATAGATTTTAATCACTGTCAAGATATTAGACAGTAATTAAAATTACTATCATAAAAAACGGTTTGATGTAAATCTATAGATAGTGTTTAATATTAAGAAATTGGTCGATTAATCCAGAAACTACATAAAAAAAATGAAGTATGTCGAATGAATGAGATATAAATAGGTTTTCACTATGAAAACAAACTTAAGTCTGACATTTTTCTTTTTCATAAGTAAACAAGTTATTCACAAGTATATTACATAAGGTTTAATTTAATATATATATATAAGTGTCAGTATTTCCGGAACACTTTCAAAAGTTATGTTGAAAGAGTTCTACTTTCTATATGCATGTCTAAGTTTTGAACACCCCTGTATAAAGGGTATTGGTCTGATTTAAAAAAAAGTATGTCGAATGAAAAAGGTATATAAATATTATTTCTTATAAAAAAAATTGTATTGATCCATACATTTTTCAAAAAGTTATTTCATTTAAAAGTTAAAAATGTAAAATATAAAATTGAAAATTTTAACACTAATAGCATACTGTAGCCATTTTTATCGTGAAGACAAAATTAAGTCCGAAATTTTTTTTTTTTCATAATAAAGTGTATTACATAAACTTTAATTTAAGGTATATATATAAGTGTCAGTATAACACTTTCAAAAGTTAATTTTTATGAAAAAGTTAACATTTTGAATCCTCCTCTGTGGGCAGGCAGTCAATGATCAGATTTAAAAAAAAAATATTTCAAATGATAGGTAAAGACATCATGCATCTGTAAAAAATTATATTGATTTGGTCATTTTTGAAAAATTTATAGCAGGTTTAAGTAAAAAAAATTTCAAAAATTAGTGAATCTTAAATTTGTAATTTTTTTGGAGATTTCTCCCATTTACGGGGAACGAGGGAAATTTTCTCAATTTTTGAAGGGTAATGTCATCGACTAGATACAATTTTTGATCTTTTGACTTATCATTGAAAAATTAGAAAAAGTGGTAACAGATACAAAAAAAAAAACATCATAGTAAAATTAATACTTTTTCAGCTTCGTATCAAACCTAATAAATAAATATCTATAATAACAATATCTATAGTAAAATTGTAGTTGACATTACAGTTAAAAAAAAAAATTTAAGACAAATAAAAATATTTTATGTATAAAATGTTTTTTATTTAGTTGATTATTTTAATTTTAGCATTAATCAAAAATATAATTACTAAGGTGAATCCTAACTCAAACTAGTTAACTTTTAAGAATTTTAAATTCAATGATGAAAACAGTAAATATAAATAATTTATAAGCTCTTAGAGATGTTAGCAATGATTGAATTGAAAAAACTATAATCAAGAAAATATTTAAATACTTAAAAATGTTTATAAAATGAATGTGTTATGATTTTTGATTAAAAAAATTATGTTGAACATATTAAAATACAATTAGTGAAATTACCTTGGTCTTTAAACGCTAATGATAGTTTGTTACTATTTATACCGATTTTATTTTGTAATTTTTTTGTTTGGTCAATTGCTAAACGTATTGATTGAATAGTAGCTTCAATTTTTTCCAAATCTAAGCTTTTAACAGAATTTTTCTTATCATTATTACCTTGGTTGATTTTGTTTTTCAATTTGAATTCCTATTAATATTAAAATACTTTAGCAAAGAATTTTAACAACAATTACATAAAATAATTCTATAAAAATTTAAATGATATGTAGCTGAATTTCAAAATTTTAACATGCATAAGAAAATAAATAAATATGGTTACTAAGTAACAGATAAACAAGATTAGAAGATATATTAATTATATTTATAATAGTTTATTTCATTAGTTTAACTTTATTTCATAGCCTAAATAATTTAACAATATTTTTAAAACACTTTTATGAATAAATTATTAAAATTTTTGAGCAAAAATAAATAAAGGTAATATTTATAAACAATTTTTACTCAAAAAAAAAAAGCCAATCAATAAATACTATGTTAATAGTGTTAATTATTTTTTGATAAATTTTTAGGTTTTCTACAAGTTCTTAGTTTTTAAATTTCCTAGAGAATTAAAAAAAAAATTTAAGTATTTAATTAATTAAGAAGAAAATAATAACAAAATTATTAATATAATAAATTGTTAATTAAAGATAAAAGACATTTATTATTCAAGTACATAAATGTAAATGAATATTTTCCATATAAATGCCATATTATATTATTAATTAATTTTTTTTAATAACACAGAAATTTAGAATCAAAATAAACAGGACAATATTTAAGTAGTTTTTCAATAAGAGGTAAACAAAATAATCATTTTTTTTTAAACAATCAGCACAAAAAAAATATTACTTATTTTGGTTGAAAACATAGAAAAAAATTGTCAGAGGAACAAATGACAAATATAATGAAAAAACATAAATAAAAAAATAAAAAAAAACTTTTTATATCAACTTAATTTACTTATCTGTTTTAAAATTAGTTCTGAAACCGTTTTAATTATGTGTCTATTTCTTAAACTGTACATAATATAAATACTAGATAGGCTAATAACCTTGTAGTTAGAAACCTTTAAACTATTAATAATAAAATATAAATAAATATTATTTTTTGATAAAAAAGTTAACATAAGTTAAAGTTAACTTAAATTAACAAAAGTTAACAAATTAAAAAATTTAGTTTCTAAATAAATTACCTGCATATGTGAACAACATGGTCTTTGAGGTTGAATTTTAGCAGCATGAACGGTTTTAGAAAGTTTTTTAACATGTTTACGGTTTTCGAGTATAAAGTTCTTGGTTGGTTTGGAAGCTACTCCTAAAAATTGTTTTGTAAAATTTATATAAATAATATATCATCAATAAACATGTATATCAACATTATCATAAAATCTTACTGTATTCTACAGGAAAAAAATCTCTTATAGAACACATAATCTTATAAATAATACATAAAAAAAAAATCAAATAATAATTTCACAGTAATTTAAATGGGATTGTGTAATAACAGAAACAATTTTTGCTTAAACATAAAAACACTTAGATTATGTAATTTGCTATGATTTTATATATTTTTATATGTCTAAATCCGTTATAAAATATAGATTATTTGAAAACAAGTACAATTCGGTAATTTACCTACCTAATCCTGTTATCACATAAGCAAAAAAAAAAACCAAAGAGTATAACATTTTTAAAATTTTAAACATTTACAAATGATATTATATTGTGTAATAATAGAAGTATAGATCGCGCTAATATAAGCTCAAAATATAGTTTTGTCTATTGAAGATTCTCCATTATTTAAAAAAAGTCTTAATTAGTACGTTTTTAATTTATCATAAATTAATTATGATAGGTCTATTCCTATTGAAAATGTATAACTCGTTTAATCACTAAAGTATTTTTTTTTTTGAAGTTATATTTTTTTTTCTTTAAATAAAGTTTAATGGAGTATTGACTTTACTATAGATTAACTTGAACCTTATTCAATTATTTAGACATTTACTTTTTGTTAGTTATGAATAAGTATGATTTTTCTGCATATTTTAGAGTTAAATGATTTTCCTTCTTAGATTATTTACTATGATATTCAAGCAAGTAAAAATCTTTTATTAGTGAGAAAAATTTCAGAAAATTTCTTACAAATACAAAAACAAATATGATATACAACTATTTAAGTTTTGGGTGATTTTATTGTTAGGTTTTTTATACTAACAGATGAGTCAATATTAAAACAAATATTTACCAAATAATACATATATTTTAAGAAAATCGTCTTATTTTTTTTATAAAAGCTTTTGCCTTATTTTCGTAATGGTATTATATGACTAAACTGAATGATAATGTAATTTTATTAAATATAATACTTTCTGTTTAAATGGTAAATATGCTTTGCAAGAAAAATAATTAATTTTAATTTATATAATTCTAAGAGTCTTTAAGAGATACACAGAGTCAGCTTTAATATATACTGTAAATATCCCTAAATTGTCGACCTATTGACGAAACCGAAAACTATTCTTGAGTTTAACAAACACATATACTTTTACGATCTTTTTTATTACACCACTTCCCCTAAGACCTACCCCTAATTTACGACAATATTGTTTAGTACCATCGTACTGACGTTTATAGCCCGCATTGTACACGTAAGAACAGAGGGGTGCTTCCCAAAAATATCATCGGGTTTGTTTAAACCAGATGGTGTATGACTCTTGTAGTTTTGTTTGTTTAATCGCTAGTCAAAATTATCAAAAGCCATTTTATTAAAATAGTAGTTCAATCAGTAAGAACTAATATTTAATAAAATTTTTATGAATTCGTTTTGTAGTACATTATGAATAAATTAATGTTAATTATTTTTTCATTATTAAAATTTTAATTCATTTAAGATTTTATAATAGAAGTTTTACAACTGGATAATTTATTAAAATCCTCATGAACAGAATTACCCATTGTTTAACATTTGTACTAATTACAATCTATGTAATTAGTATTGATATCTAATCAATAAAAAAAGACATTAAATTAATGAGTGCAAAATTATTTAAAGAAACAATTTTTTAATTTATTATAATGATATAGACAAAATCTTTACTTTAACACTTATTTTCAATTAAAAATAAAATATAAATCATAATTATACTATAATAATAATCTGATTCTATCCTAAAAGTAGATTCTTATTGTTGGATATGTCTAGCAAGTAACGTTCAAATACTAATATCAGTAATACTATATCAGTATACAGTGTATACTGATAATAATTCATGTAAAATAATGCATGCAATATAAAATGTTTCATGTTTTTTTTAAGCTATTATCATTTTTAAATGTTTTAATACTCTTCTCAGCTTAAAATAACAAAATTTTGTTTATACTCAGATATAATAATTAAAAAACGATACCACATTGTGAACGTGGTATAGTTAGGGCAAGTATAGATGATATCTGACAGTGATTAAAATCACTATCATAAGAAACGCTTCGATGCAAATCTGTAAATAGTATTTAAAATTTAAAAAAATTGATGGAATATTAAAAAAGCGAAATGAACTCTTATTTACTTATTTATATCCTGATTATAAAATTTATAATTTATACGTGTAATATATAAATAAATATTTATTATAACAACTAAATATAGTATGCAATTGATATTTAATAATTTAGTGTTGTAATTTTAACAGAGAAATTATAAAGTAGTTATTACTTTTATGACACACGTGTATAAAAGTTAAAAGGATTGATGCAATACTTATTAAAAGAAATTTTTTGTTACATACAAATAAATTGACTGGTCTACAAAGAATTTTCATCAGAGACGACCAAAATATACTTTTCTAAATCCATTTTTGCGCTGACTTCAAATCTACAATTAAATTTTCGCATATGGACTAAATAATAACACAATCCTTCTAATTAATATAACAAATATTTCTGTTTGATTTTTAAATTACGTATGAATAATAAATAAATATATTTTATTTAAAAATATAGCAACAAGCAGAATGTATTATGTGCAATATATCAATATAAATAATGACTTAAACATCAAGAGTTGTATAAAAATGATTATTAAAATTTCTATTTAAATGATTTATTACAATAAAAATACAAACAATAGTTATTTTAACGAAATTTTGAGTTTTCCTTATAAATTTACTCTTAATAGTAATTATATAAGTTTCTAATATACAGTATATAAATGATTATACTTATCATTTGCATTGATAAAATGAGACTCTAATGTGTTTCAAATCGATAAGAAATTATACATTTTATTTCTTATAATTTAGGATTCTTTTTATTATAATATTGTAATTTTAGATCATATAAAATTCTTAGCTTATGATAGTTTTTATTTAAGAATTTTGTGACATTCTGTGAAATTCCGTCTTATTAAATTTTACTTGTATTATCCAGAAAGGGTCCTAAATATTCGGTCAATTCAAGGCCGTTGTTTCATCATATTAATATGTTATAAAATAAATATTTATATTACTATGATATCAGATTAAAATTTGTGTACAAAATCTATTGGTACACTGAAAAAATTATAATTGATATCAATAATTTTCTTATAAATATAAGTCCATTAATATTTTTGTTAAGTAAATGAAATGTTATAATTAATTGAACCATTTTTTTTTTTTTATATAGATTTAACAAAATATTTGTTAATTTAATCAATTTTTATTCCTCTAACGAGAATAACAGAAAAATGTTTTTAAATTTTTTAATAAATAAATATATGTTATAAATATCTAAATTTTTCAGCTTCCTGTAAAATTAAAATAAAATAAAGTTATCTTGCTTTTGCACATAGCCCTTTAATTTTGAAATATTTTTCTAAATTTCTAAAATTGAGAGATTTCTATTAATTTTCAGCGATGATAGGGTTTTAATCACATTACATTTGGGTCCTTTTGACGTATAGAACATCGTATAGAACTAAGTATTTATACGAACAAACACGAATGAATGGTGTATAATAATTTAAAATTATTGCTATTAATAGACCTTCCGGCTATCTTATTTTTCTATTTGTTATTTAACCCTCATTAGTATTGTAAATAGATTGATTTCATCAAATGTATACTGTTCATTATGTCGGTTTAGTCAGGTAGTTGAGTACACATCACTCACTATCATTACTACATTATTATTGTTCTAACTTTAGTAGTAATTGTTATGTTTGTATGACAGCTTAAAATTTTTAATTTACATTTTATTTGAGACTGAATATTTAATAAATTTTTTTACTATAAAATATCAAATTTTTTTTCATTCGCTAAATTTATACTATTTTGTTAAGAATACAATACCATTAACATCTTGTGATGAATTCATTTATCAAACTTGATATTAATTATCATTGTTTTAAAAATTAGCCCCTAGATGCATATAATTAAAAGAATTAGTTTGTCGATATATTTATATTTATAGATGTAAAAAGAATATTTTGAAAATAACTGACTTATAACATATTACATATAATAACATTAATAAATATTAATGAACTTCTCTTTTATAGTTGTTTCCAAACAGAAAATTATTATGCAACATGGGAGTCAAGTATGTTTATACTACAAAGTATAATTAGTTCATAAAGCTCAATAAATGCGTCGATTGAAAATATTTTTCTAAATTAAAATTCGCTGTACTGTTATTTGGCTTAAATAAAGATTAAAATAATAGTTTTCAAACGAATTCGAAGAAAAAAGTTTCTTGAAAGAAAAGGGGAATTTCTTTGTTCACAAGTACCGAATCAGAACAAATCGGCCATGTATTTGTAAAACTCCTTAATAAAATCTTATATACATAACAATATTGCCTTGTAACGATAATTCTGAAATAAAAATTCATTCTTTTGTTTCGATATCGTAGTGTTAGGCGGCCATAGTTTTGTACATTGACTTTATAGCGATTATAATAAAATACTATATCTTATAATTATGAAGTGTATTTACAATAACTCTGTTTGTGCCCAATAAATCAAATGATCCGGATATACTTCTGTTATATTGATTCGCTCATTTCAGCGGAGTATGCTTTTAATTTTTTTTCGCTTCTTTATTTCGGTACACTATGTATAATATTATCTCGGTTTTATTTTTTATCATCACATGAATACTTGTGTATTGTGCACGCCGAGTTACATAAAAATATCCGATCCCCATGTGATAATACGAGAGTTAAACATTACATAATAATAATAATAATAATAAATGCATTAAAAAAAGTAAAAATTATGGCGTGTGCACCTCGTGTCGGTGACACTCTGATAGCGTTAAAAATACATTAAGCTGCCATGGGTGACGACCGTAATAACTTCCAATTATTTTTTGTTAAAACATTAATGTTAGTGCAGCCATGTGACTATAGAAAATTTGTGCCTATCATTCGGTTTTGAATTTGTTCGTTTAGATAAAAAGTAGCTTATTTTATTAATTTATGTTTCTTGGATGAGTTCTGAGCTATTTATTTATCTTTAACAACAGCTGTTAAATATCTCTTGCTCCTACCGGTGTTAAATTTTCTTTTTATTGGATTTGCACCTTATTGAAAAAAGGTGAAATAAGTGAACTATA